CTTCTTCGTCATCCGTCTGTATTTTGAAAGAATATTATAATCTATGTGTTGGGGTCTAAATAGAAATTCTTGTTCAGTGATGAAGACTGCGGTCAAATACTGCGGCATCTAACCAAAAGAATTGTGAATCCTTTTAGAAGTCTTCTGGGAAAAGAATGAAACTAGTTCCCCTAGGAATGAAAGAAACAACTTAGCGCGTAACTTTCTAGTGCCGCTGCACGGATCGAAAAGATCGAGAAAATAATTTTTTCTTTCATATAAAATCTTTTTTCCGATTTTTTGCCACATCATCTAGCAGTGCAAGAATGTGACAATTAGTGCAGTTTATTTCGCTACAAAATATAACGAGCAAAACGAGAGCTACACATTTGAATAATCAAAGTAGAATAACAAACTAGTTTGTTTCTGTTTCAAAGACTTGTGTTCGCCATGCCATAATTCGGTAGGATTTTAACGGCTGGATACACAAGTTGCTAGAAATTGTTAAGAAATTATTAATGTTTACCGCAATTTTTAGTAACTCTCATATATGGCTAACAAAATCAGAGTTACGTAGATATAAGATCTTTAGATCCTTTCTCGGTACGTCCTGGTTCGTTCTTCGGTCAAGCGTGGCTCTACAACGCAATTTTGTACGATTCACCGAAAAAGAAAGAAGGAAACCCAACAAGGGGGCTGCACGTCGAAAAGGAGAATTTATGTATATAATATGGTGCAACGTCGACATCTGTAGAATTTTACCCTGTTCTCTCTCTCTCGGTCGGTCAACGGCTGCAGAAAGCAAGTCCTTTTATGAGTTTTGACCGGCCATTTGTCTTATTATCCCCGATTTCTGGCAATAGCCTTAGTGGTGACCACTAAAACGTGAATGCTGAATCTCCGATCTAACGTGTTGTTGAAAGTGATTAGTGACGAATTATACACGTTTAGTAGCTTGATTTTACATGGTAGTAAGAAAGAAAACGTTATCATCTAATATTTCAACAACCTCATCGGGTCGATCAAAATATTTATAGCTCGATTTTCTGCTTCCTTCGACAATGAACCACTTTATCTCCTACGGCAGAGGTATGCGAATGCTACAGAATATCGGCAAAGGATCACAAACAACATTACTCTCGATTTGATATTTGAACCTAATATTTGAGGCTTTGGTGGAATGAGGCTCGCCTTGGCTTCTAGCTTGGTACCTTGTCTTCGTGAATTTGTTTTCAACGTTTTGTGAATATTTTAGTTCATTTCTTCAGAGAGAAGAAGAACACTTTAAAACTTGATTGTTCTTCGACAAAAGTAAGCTACATGCTTACAGAAAAAATAAATGGAGAGGTGGAAATGATAGGAAGGAGAGAAAAAGGGTAAGAAGGAGATAATTTTACGTTTGGTCAAATAAGGATTTTTATAGAACCAAAAAGGATAGGCTGTCAAATTGAACTGAGTTGCAATCAGCCGTCTCTGTTGAGATATTATTATGAATACATCTGCAGATATGAATAAATCCACAGATTTCCTGTATCTTCTAGAAAAGTAGAGAGAGAGAGAGAGAGAGAGAGAGAGAGAGAGAGAGAGAGAGGCGTTGATCTTAGATAAAACATATGTTTGATCCAATAGAGTTTTTTTCTTTCCATTTTCCATGTGATATTCTGACTGAACGCTGATTCGCTCATTTCTCTCTTATGCAAATCTCTCTAGTGTGAATCATAATTTTCTTCTGAACTGAACACGACACACGAACTCAAATTGAACGAACTTTTTGACTGATCCGGTATAAGCTATCCCAGAGCCGTCAGAATTGTCGTCGTGAATTGATCATCGAGAAACACGGATAAGTGAAACAGAGAGAGCGGGATGACACTACGGAACAATATCCCGTGAAGAGAAACAGGAAAACAGAATTGTCCAGCAGCCCCGGAGATCCTCCCGGCGTGTAACGCCGGCAGGATATTTATCTGGAGTGTCACTTCACCCAACTTTCACCGACACAATGTTACCTCATTCTCCCCTACGGCACCCACTCACCCCGTCGGCCTCCTCTCGCGCACGCCACCAAGAAGATGTCCTCGAAGATCCTCGTAATGGGCTTTCATTCAGCCGACTGCGGCCGCTCCATCTCATCATTTGCATTGCTCGCGATCGATTTATCTTGCTGGCAGAATGTTCGCTTGCAGTCCGAGCAGGACTGCTGGACAGGATCCATTATCGTCACAACGTGACGACACAACGGGAATCAATGAACGTTCGAGAAAACCGCAGGACGCGACAACATTGTCGCGTCGGCCTCAACGATCTTTGACCGTACCAAAGACCACTGCTATTCTCGTTGGAATTGCGATGCACCTGCATCTTGACACTTTTGCTATTGTGGCATTATCTGCCATAAAATATGACGAATCTTGAAGCAGTAACCATGATGGACCAATAGTATCCGTCAGGACGATGGAAACGAGTAACTATGAAATTTATGTTACTCCTCATCATAGAAATAAATATAAAATCGATATAATTCTTAAAAAAGGCAAAGAGAGGAATAAAATTGTAGGAATTTTTAATTATTAAAAAAAAATCAAAATAAAGGAGCGCGACTCCGTCAAAGAACTATGTCTATGTCAAACGTACGCAGCGTCGAAAATTAATCATTCGTCATCGGTGGCGACGACAGTTCGCCAAAAAGGGTTTTCCACAAAAGTTCCTTCCACCACGCACAAATAAAAATGGAGTACGGAACAAATTGCCTAATGCGTAACTGACGTCGGTCTATGCTATTCATTATGATCTTGCAAAAATGACACAGTTTAGTAACGGCTTAGCTCTTCAGCGTGAGTGAATCATACATCATTGCAAAGTGCCCGCAACTAAACGACGTGGCATTTGACAATTTGGGAGGGATCATTGTGCTTTCACCGACTAACACGACCCTCTGAAAGAGACATCAAGATCGCGAAGAAGAAAATTTCTCCCTTCGAGAAAATCCTTTCGGGCGATTGCTGAGACGAATCTCCATCTTCACAATTGACAATGTCCGGTCGCGCCATACGTGGCGAGCTCTGCCTGAAACTTACTTCGCGTACACATTATGGAGTGGTGGCTTTGTGCGTCGATCAAAGGAAGATCTCAAGTCGCGCACTCGTAGCCATCTAACAACGACGAAAATCAATCGGCAAACGTGGCGTGCGTGGTCATTTTTTGCGTTCTCGAAATGTTGGCGTCCGTGCTCGCGAGCCTCCGTGAATTCTCGATCCGGTTCACATTATGGCAGTTTACATAATTTCCCCCGCGCGAAAGGAGGAAATCCCGGGCCACGGGATCAATGGGAACAAGGGAGGGATCGAAGTCGCGGTGCGGAGGCTCAGCGGAGACGCGCGAGACGTGCAGTATGGGCAAAGGGACCCTCGTCCTGCAAAATATCAAAGGCTCAGTAGGGAAATTGAAAGGCTTTGTATGGAAATAAGAATGTATCGACTGCCCCCGAACAACCACTCATCCGGAGACAAGATTTTCGAATCTGACATTTAAATGCTTCGTCGCAAGAGATCGAAAGGAGATGGCCGAAGGGAGGTTGGGGCTTCTTATTTATTCTATCCCAGAGTGTAATTTTCATCGATGCTATTGCGCAATCCAGTTGCTACATTCTTCCTTCCTACCTTCCTTCTTCCTTCCTACGATTTCATGCTTTTGTCACATACGTCAACACAGAACAATTTCTTTTATAAAAATAAGAATTATTGCGAGTCTTCGGGATATGCATTCGTTCCCGCAAACGTTAAATGACAAGGTCCTAATATTTGTGGCTTTTAAATAGAATTACGAATTTAATCCTTTATAGTTGATAACGCTTCTGTAACAATGTCAATTATTCGCAGCAATAGTACAACTTATTGATAAATCTAAACATTGTACATTGCAACACAGATTATAACAATGTTCCCGTTTAAAGTATAAAATGGTGCCGTCGAGTTATAAAATCTTTCAATAATCGATATAACGGTACGTCTGCATGCGTCACGGTAACTTGCCGACCTTACCACGAGTCTGCAATAGTTGAAAAAAATTGCAAATTTTTAATAAAGTCACCGATAACACGAGAATAAAGATCGTCAGTCTTACAAAATTTAGAGAATACGAAAATTTAGATTTTGAATAATCTCCTATCGGTAAATCTTGTATCGAATAGACGCAGATGATAACTACAGAAATACTGTTTAATAAAAGTATTTGATATACTTTATTCCAAGTTTGTATACATATTGACGTAAGATTAAAATATTCTGAATTATAAAATTAATATTTATTAATAGAATTTTCAGATGTTTATATAAAAATAGAAGAGATCGGTAATGTCATTCTTCTTCTATTACCTTCGAGTCCTTTTGGTAGTTCCTTCAAGCCCTTATGGTGGTCACACAAATTTAGCCAAGAAAGCGACGAACTACGACGAGCAAAGACCGTACTTATAGAATGCGTATACGAGACAGTTCTCCGACTAGTAGTAATCTTCTGTCGATAAATTTTGTATCAAATCATAGTAAATAATAATTATAAAAATATAGTTTTATAAAAATATTTGATAGAATATATAAATATTGGGATAACCGTAAATCATAAAAATAATACTTTAAATTCAAATTTATGCATTTAAACTCGAAAGTAAAATCTTGAATTTTCATAAATTATTGCACGTTCAATCTATAACAATATATGCTATGCAGTATATCAAAACACATTATATACTTTACAATATAGTAGGTAATGCGGATCTTAATACAGAGAAAGCCCGAATTTCTTCATTATTCATACATTTCTTTTGAATGTTTTTATACAGAATTTATTGAAGTAGTAATTTAATGATATTTTATAAAATCCATTACTATTTTAACAGTAAGAATCATCTAAATGCGAACTAACAACATGTGTTTAAAGATAAATTTATGATAAGCTACTAATTTATCTTCAACCCTTTATTTACGTCAGCAACTACTGCAAAAACACGAAGGCGTGACGATGATCAACGAACGTGGGTGGTCAATTGATCACCGACAGTTTCATACGAACCACGAGACAGTTCAGGTCTGTTCAATCGCGGTAACGCGTCTTTTCCACGTACGGAGTGATTAATATATCTGTGACGTGATATATTAAATATTGAAGATAATAAATATCAAAGAGCTACCATCGCCAAATATTCCGAGGGAAATGAAATTTTTACGTGCGGAAAACGGATTTGTGTCGAAGCGGTATCGCGCATCTCACGGAGGATGCGCAAACCGCATTAAACCATTCCTGTTGTTAATCAAATTATGCGGGATGTTTGCCAACGAAATTACAAAGGGACGCGTGAAACGTTGCTCTTGGCCCATTTACGGTATTTGCGTCTTTTGGTTGAGCTTATACGTATCACACGTATGTTTTCTACTGTGTTACTTCGCGAAAGGTGAATCCATCCAAATAACACTAACGATAGAGTTTACGAAGCATTTAATAGGATATGCAAGTCTCGGAGTCAACGTCATCGCCGCTTACACCGCGCAAGATAGCGTCGTTAAGGTAAACAATACGACGAAACAAAATGCAAGGTAGCTCAAATTAATATTCATTCTCTAAAAATCCCGATTCGTTTAATCTTGTGCTTTACTTCGTTCCTTTTTAAACAGACCTCGCAATTCGCATCTTGCGTAAAAGTCACAAAAATAAATAATTACAACCCTCGTCCCAAATCTTAACCGCTTCTTTTTCTATTTCTTTCTCTCCCTCTCTCTCTCTCTCTCTCTCTTTTCCTCCATCACTCTTCGATAAATAAATCTCCGCTTCACAGTTTTTCGATCGACTGGACAGTTATGACAGCGAAGTTGCGCGGATGAAGAACACGAGGCAAGATCACTTGTGGATACTCTCGATCGCCACGTTTGCGACGTTCGTTATCAACCTGATGCTCGCGAGCGTGATCGCAAGCGAGATAACGAACGACATCATGTTCTTCATGATACTTTCGGATATCTTCACGACCATCATGCACATGTGCGGCACTCTCGGCAAGTCTCTCATGCTGTATTTGCTGTTAGAACGTTTCAGGCATCTGAACAGGAAGATCGCGCCGAGCGTGTCGTGGGACGAGAAGCGACACGGTTCGAACGCGATCAAGGTCCTGGATGTCAAAACCCTCCACTCGATGCTGTACGACGCTCAGCAGGCTTTTTGCAACATGTACAATAATCCTATGTTGATGTGGTTCGCCTCGCTCATGATACACGTTGTTGCGAACATTCGTGCTTTTCGGCAGAAGCCACTGATCCTGGCCTGCGCTTTAGTATGTCCTGGGATCTTGCAGGTGTTTGCTCTGTGCACGATGTGTCACTACACGACCCAGGAGGTACGCAAGTTGAATCACGAATTTGTCCGTAAATGAGTCTCTCTCTCTCTCTCTCTCTCTCGCCTTGAGACCACCGATAATTAATATTCACATTCGTAACACATTCGTCGTTCTAAACGTTTGCGCGTTCCAGGCGAACAGGATCGCTTGCGTCTTAAACGAAGACATGTGCAGGCTTGTTAGCTCGGGGGAAACGATGGTAAGTGCGAATATTTCGTAAGAAACAAATGTTTCTCGCGTGATTTTTCAATCGTTGCAGGTTCTCTCTCGTTGCAGGTGAAAATTGACGTTTTCACATATTTCTTGCACAATCAAGTGTCTTTCGAGGCGGCGGGCTTCTTCACGATCGATCTGCCGCTGTTTCAGTCCGTGAGTATTCCCTCGTCTTGCTTGCGAATTAAGTTAACTGCGGAGTTAACATTGACGATGGCTTCGTTTTCAGATTGTCGCGGCGATAACTACTTATTTCATAATACTGATATAATCTCCCGGCCCCTAAATATATATTTCTCTTAACGTGTGCCGTTCCTTCTCACGATAAATATCGAAAAAAAATTAAAAATAAGATTAAAAATAAGATTAAAAAATTAAAAATTAAAAATAAGATTATAGATACGAATATTGTATTATTGTGTTATTAACGTGCATCGTTCTTTCTCACGGTGAATATAAAGAATTCATAAGGTGTACAAAGTGCGTACTTTGGATTTAATCGCCGGTCCACTCTGTAATAGCCCGGTGTGGAATTGATAGCAGCGTTGACATAAATTCCTCGCGAGCGTAATGAAATAAAAACAGTCGCGCTTCTATGTATCGACTTTTTTATACGTCGGCACGAGCCTCGCGTGATTCGATGTGGAACAGGACCATAATGCGGCGCGTATCGTTAGTAAGATTAATGTCGCTGCGTTACATTTATTAGCTAACGCGTCGCAAATGGATTCACAATGTTATGCGCGCGATTCCGACGATCGTCGTTAACGCGATTGTGTCGATGCTTTGTCAGACAATCCTAATCGCTGTCTGCCATCGCACTGGTTGCACCGTTTCGCTGGAACGTAATTTCAGGCTCGGCGGCGCACGAAAGAAAGAGAGGAAAAACGGATAGGAAAAAAGCGATGATCAATATGGAACTCGGTCGCATCAGCACGTCGGCGGTCATTAGGATACTCCGCGAATCGACCAGCTTCGCTTCAGTCGCCGGTAACGAGCTTCTTCAAAATAGTCGGACGATTTGGCAGTAGCGTTCCTCGTCATGATGAGATTGACCTCGCCGACGATGACGCCTTTTCAAAACCTCAAGTTTCTGATAATAACAAAGAAAACGATGGGTTTGATCTCTTGCAAATTGGTGAACGGTCGGCTCAGGCCAGGCAGTATCTGGAGCCGTTGTTACTGTGCGTTATGGATATTGTTCCACTGTTCGTACACAGGTATGAACCATTATAGATGGTACACCATGTCGTCTGCTGATACGGTCGGAACGCTTTTCTTCCTCAACATCCTGCGATATGACGTCTTCTTCGTCTCGTTGCTACCTTACCACTTCGTGGCGGTCTTTCGTTGTCGAGCTATCACTACGGTGAGTGTACTCGTAAAATAGCAAATTGCAATTAGACGTAGCGGAAAGCGCGAGGTCTCACGTGTAACAACGTCTTGAAAGTGATCAGCATTCAAATGAGCGTGAGTTGTTTCCAGTGTCTCACAGGTCCGCATCCGCGAAGCGACTGTAAGCGCGAAATTTTGTTAAAACTTATTCCAAATCCTAGTAAGTTCAGTTTTCTAAAATTTGTCACAAATACATATATACGGAGATTGTTATGAGGGAAGAATAAATATTCTTTGCTTGAAATAACCATTACTTGGAAGAAGGAAAGTAAACTGTCTAAAGCAACCGCTCTTTCTCAGCAGTGGGATGATATTTTTCTCGTGCATAATTGTCGTAGTTTTCCGACAAGCTCGAGGCGTACGACGACAAAGCGACGATATTGGGACACCGCAGGAAGGACAAATACATATTTATATGGTTGTGCTTCGCGTACACGCTCGTCACACTAACTATGAAGACGTATTACATCAGCGTGGATATAGAACAAGGAACGGCGGCATTGCTGAGGGCGATATTCGAGATGATCATTCCTACCATCATCGGCACTTATTGCGTCTTCATCACCGTCATATATCTCGACTTGATACGCCAACGTTTCCGTCATTTGAACGAGACGATAGTGCCGCACGTGTCGCAGTTACCGGTGACCGGATCGCCGGGCGAAATCACAGTTTACGATGTGCGCTATTTGCACGGCGTGCTCATCGACAGCGCCGAGCTGATAAACAATTTGTACGGCATAGGCACCTTGACGACCTTCTCGTCCATACTGCTGGAATTCGTTTCGGTTATATATCTGTTCATAGATGATATAGAGGACAATAATGCGATGGTGACGATATTGGATTTATTCTTTCAAGCCATTTTCTTATTCACGACGTACCACTGCACGACTCTGGAGGTGAACAGAGGGCTATCTCCCGTTATTTAACCCGTAACTGCTGTGAAGCCATTTTAAGTACCCGCACACTGTTCACCGGTCAAATTGACCGGTAGGAAATGGAATTGATGAATATCTTGACAAATAACACGATCACGATCACACAACTGCGCGTACATCAGTCGACTGACATTCAGAATGTAAGAAAATACACTGACGGATGAATACGCAACTAGAAAATTAACTGCGTTATTTAAATTTCAAATAGTGCAATGGTCAAATTGACCGGAGAACAGCAGTTACGGGTTAAGACGATTTTTCCGCGCACCATGCCGTCGCTTGTTGCACGTAAATTCAGAAAAATGCTTGATTATTCGATGACTCGTTTCGTTTTGTATGCGATATATACCATAGATGCGTCTGTACTCTCAATCATCTCATATAGTATTGTCATTATTATTATTATTATTATTATTATTATTATTATTATTATTATTATTATTACAGGCGAATCGCGTCGAGGAAAATATAGAGAAATATGGGCTGTCTTTTCAAAACGCGAAATGCCGCATGGTAAGTTTCAGGTTTATAAAACTAGCAGATCTACCAATCGTTTAACAATATATTGATCAATTTCAGGACAAAACCGAAATGATGCTATATTTCTATCACGCAAGATTTTGCTTCACAGCCGCTCAATTTTTTATTCTGGATTTAACGCTTTTTCTCTCGGTAAATGAATCCTTACTCGATTTACGCGATTACGCCGTTAAAAAATATTTTTCTGCGAATTCTTTCGTTGTTTCAGATATTTTCTACGGTGACAACGTTTATAACAATAATAATATAAGCTTTGCAATATGAGCTGAAGAAGACATATCGGAAAAGGAAACGTCGCAAAGAGAGAAAGCTTCGTGCATGTGTCGCAGTGTATCGCACACATATACGTTAGATAAAATTAACACAGATAACGTTACGTAAATGAGGGCAGCAAGGATTCTATTTATTACAAAAAAGATTTCGAACATAAAATTCAATACATCAATATCATATTGGATAAATATTCTATTTACATAATACCACACACGCGCGCGTAATTAAGTTATACACGAATATACGAATATACAAATATACGAATATACGAATATACGAATATACGAATATACGAATATACGAATATACGAATACACGAGAAACGAAACAAATATATACGTGTAAAAGGTAGTCATTAAAAATACAATTTAAACCACGAATGAATAAAAAACTTTCTCATACTCCCTCATCGTGTCACATGTCTAGTTTTATTATTAAAACAACTAAGTGAATAATGCATCGAAAAGGCACCTGTTCATCAAACGGCAGCACACAATCGTTTCTCTCTCGTTCTACCTTCATTCGAAAATATCAATTCGCGAATTGGAACAGGACAGTAATCCACATGAATTTTAGCATCCTCGCTTCACCACATCATTTCCGTCTCCGAATTGGTGCGCGCCAGAGGGTTCAAACATAAATTTTTCAAAACTTGGACAGCCTCTTCCCCGTCGTCCTTCGCGTATAGGGTCGTCCGTTTCGCGCTGCTCGTTTTGACCGACTTCCTACCAAAAGTATCCACCAACGAGCGGACTTTGATCCCATGCCTTCTGGAGGGTCTGGCAGTTTTCTTCTTGAAGGAGTTCTTCGAGGATAACGACCCTACTCTCGACGCGGTGAACGACGAGCGGCGGTGTTTCTTCTTGGACAGTCCGCCATTAGCCGCATTCAAATGCGCCATCGATTTTGTCGTCGACCTCTTGATACTGCGATCGACGTCCCTCATGGTGATCACCGCGCAATCCGGCTGCGGCGCCTTTCTCTTCGGCTGGTTTCGTCGTCGCACGTTTGGAAGCGTGCGAGGACTCTTGTAGATGGGTCCTATAGTGCTCACTATCCTGCGACTCATGCGCAGCGGCTCCAGGATACCGTGATCCTGCCAGGTCGCCACGACGGGTAAGCCGCAGGCGTTGTGCATACCTACCAACGGTACGCCAATGGTCCGGTGTCCTTTCAACTCGAGAACTGATCGATACTTGGAGCCACGCAGACTACGTCGAGCATTCTGCTCGTAAGCAGATATCTTCTGGCCAACGTGACCCTCCATCACATTCGCGGTCTTCTCGTTCCTCACGTCAGCTGTCATGGTCGCATCTCTTCGCGAAGAAGAAACGCACGCACGTCTCGAGGCTCGCTGGTTGTTCGAGGCGAGTCTCCTCCGAGAGCTCCTGCGGAAATATTCGTCTATATCGGAACCGTCTCGCGATCGTTGCTCCTCCATCTTGTTGAGACACTCGTTGTCCTCGGTATCCTTGTCTATTGTGTCGATGTCAACGCAATAACAGTCGCGTTGACTGTCGCAAAAGTGGCAAAACAATCTCCTCCTCGGAACGTTGCCTTGATGATGTTCAATCTGCGAGGCGGTAATTTGGGACGCGGTTCGGTGCTGGAGGTTACCGGTCGCAGGTATTTTCCTCTTCGACGTCGCGTAAACGCTCTTCTCCGGCTCGGAGACGAGGGACTCGAATTGCAGCTGAGGTGCCACCGATCGCCTCAGTGTTCCAAAGTTGTGCGCGATCGACGCCTGGTAATCCTTGATGGGGATGCTTCGAACCGTACCGCCGCCTTGAGGCCTTTTGATCTTGACGAGCTTGTCGTCGTTGAGCGGCTTCGCGCTCGCGTCGTCGTTAGTTGCCCTCGGCGGCGGCGCCGAGATCTGCGGGGATCTTTTTGGAAAATCCCAAGGACGATGATCGACCTCGACGTCAATCGCACGCTCCTCGTACGCTCGATCGCTCCTTAGCGTATCTTCGGTGTACTCGGGGGGATTCCGCCATTCCTCGATTATGCTCTTGCCGCTTGGTACTAAGATGCTGTACTTGGAATCGTCGCTAATAGTTTCTCGCTTATTCGTATCCTTGTCGATAGCCTGTCGCCCTTCGCCGCCCTCTAGCCATCTTCATGACTTCACACCGAAAGTCGTTCCGGCCGTGTGTATTCTGTTCTCGATTCCCATGCCTAGACACCAAATTGTGCACCATAAATAGTAGTGTTTTCTTTTTCTCGATTTTCGCCGAGCTTGGAAAAATTTCTTATAAATACACCGATATGCCATGATGAAAAATTACGAATTATTAATAAGGTATCAGTGAATAATTTTTCGCTTGTATCTTTTGATCTCTTACCGAAATCATGATCACTTTCCGCGAACGGACTGAGGGTTTGCGTGGAGGTAAATGTCGATGTTTGCGACTTGCTCCTCTTCTTTCCCCGCGAGCAGGCGAGGAGTACGCTGAGAAGCGCGATTACTTCGACAAACATGATGGCTAGTACGATGGCCAAGAGGATCAGTGCCTGATTCTGCATCCATTTCTCGATGTGCTCGAGGCAACCCTGAATGCAAAGCGAACAAGATGCGAGATACGCGTGAGATGGCGCGATCGGTAAATTAATGTACTCCAATGTATTGTTACCGAGGTACAATTAACGACCGAAGAATGGACGAGTTAAAAATAAAAAGAAAAAAAAGGAACACACGCATCTCAACACATCGGCCACCCGCATTTGAATAAATTCGCTCTCAGCCTTGGTCTTTCTACGGAGGTTCTCCGTAGGAGAGATTGGAGGCCGTTAACCAGCGAACGATCGTTCCCCCTAACATACACGAGGACATGCCGGCTTTATCGCGAGCCTCTCCGGTCGAAGCGCGAAAAATGCGAACTGCGTGCTGAATATCACGAGAACGAGAGACCGTGATTTTCGGAATGGGAATCAAGTTCGATTTTTCGCGCAGAGTACGCGATCTCGCGATCATGATGGGATAAAAATACCACGAGCGACATTCCTCCTCTGCGCTTGTACAGCGGCGAGAAGAGATGCGTCGCTTTGTTTGCTTCATGCAAATCCCATGCGTTATCGGCAACGTGTCGATATTCTATATTTAAGAAGCATTTGTCCCCCTGCCGCTCGATACGGAGGGGCCTTCGTGTGTTCATATTTGTGCGAGTCGATTCGAAGAGCGGGCCGCATGTATTCCCGCCGCCGCCGCGGCAGGCCGCAACAGAGAAGGCTAATAACTTCCTCATTATCGCCGCATACCACTGTGTGTCGGGCGTATTGATGTTCAGCAGGGTTCAGAGTCTGGCAGAGAGTGAGATTGGCAGGCACAGGGTTGAGGAAGGAGTCCGTCTCATTGGCGTTATTCAGGGTGCAACAACTGAGAGGCACCACTAATTCTCTTCGGCCGACTTCCTGCAGCCGCCACCACGACGTGCCGTAATTGTTGCTTCCGTTGATGCCACAACAGGAGAACTGTAATGGTCACGGTGATAGAGATATATAGGTGGCTCTTTCTTTCCTTCTTTGTCGCAGTACATATCAGACTGTGCACTGTGACATGTCGATAAATGTTTACGATGGCAGCAAACAATGCAGCTCGTATAACAAGGCGCGATATTAGGATAGTCCGAAAAAACCGATTCGATTTTCTGCCTGAAATCAGTCAGCGCAAAATCGTAGTAAATGACGGCGGTTATTCGGTTGATAATTAATTCGTTTCAATTAAATGCAGCAGAGACAAGTTTATTTGAAAAACTGATCAAACTAAAGTTTTGAGCGACTCAACACATGAATAAAAAAAGCGCGTATAAGTAGTTAGTTTAAAATTAAAATAATGAAAATTAAATTAAAATTAAATTAAATAAAATTAAATAATTAAAATCATTAAAATGGCTGTTTTGAACCTGCATATATTATTAGTGTGAAATAATAAAATTACAAAGTTTATTTCGATAATAAATAGTTAGACTACATTGCAATAGAAATATACAATCGATTCTGTGCAAACTTACTGCCGTTTGTGCCAGATCAAGAGCCGCTGTGAACTGCTCACGGCCGGGAACGGCGTAGCTGCGTTGTAAAGCGCGTATCAAACGCGCTGGTCTTACATCCATTCCCAACAGGTGAGGCCAAAACATCGCGATGATGCAAACGGAGCATTCGCCGAAGAACAGTAGGATTACAGTCACGAGGTACTAAAAGACGTAAAACCAAAAGCTTCATCCTGAACCATTCAATTGCTCATGCATGCATTACTTTTGAGCATTCAATTATTCTTGTTCGTTAATCTATTCGTGTTTGCTCCTCTAATATTTCAATTAATCTCAAAAGTTACGAAACACCAACATGTTAAATGTTAAAATCGTCGATCCTGAATAAATTTTTGTATATTATGGATAACTGCGAGAAAGAACTCTGACGACAGTCGTTTGCTATTTATTCTCTCAACAAGTCAACACACACACTCGCTCGTCCGCAAGCGCATAATTAGTGTTTTTACGTGCGCGGCGCTCGAACGCGCCCTCCTTCTATTTACGCGCGTGTCTGCATACGAACGGATCCGTTTCCGGGCAACGACGCGTGACCGAGTCCAAAGTAGAGGAAATTTGGTATTTCGTAGGTAGAACAGACGTATGAACAGACGCTTTACGCTGCAGGGAATTTGTTGATCGAACAGATTCTAATTAATTAATGCGTTAATCTGGTGGAGTCGCCGACACAAAGAGAGAAAAGTTTCCATCTGAACGAGCGCGAAAAGCCACTGCGATGAATGATTTTTATGCATTGCATCGAGCGATAATAATAGCGAAATATGAATCTCCTGAAACGCGTTAATTTTTTTAATTCAACTGAGGTCGCGAAACATCGCGCAATGTTTTCGAGAAATATGAAGTATTGCCGAATGAAACTGCAAGGTAGGATAAAGCCGAGAAGAATTTTCAATAAGAGATACTACAAACTTATATCTATACTTAGATCTCTCTTACAGAGGTCGTGAAGCAGCAATTATCATAGAGATAGGCTCCCCAGAATCCGAGGAGCCCGATAAGAAATCCTGACGCAACTAATGCGAATGCCAGGTAATAGAAGATTGGCTGATCCGGATAGATGTCACCAGCTCCTAGTAGACGCGACAGTAAAATTCGCTCGTCATCGGCCAACAGTAATCCTCCCAATAATATCAACACAAATCCCGACACCTGAAAAAGAAATATCATACTCTTCTACAAGTCTCATCGAGTTTCAAATCTACGACAACACAACTTCTTTTGTTGTAATGTAACATCCGACATTCAATTGTCTGACCTGTGTCTATAATAAATCGGGCAAAAATATTGCGCCCGAAATGTCACTGTTAGTCGAGATTCTTGAAATATAAATTGAAATATAAATTTAAATCGTGGCTACACGTGTTTCCGAATTAACCGGGCGACAGCAACTTACCAAGAAAATTATATTCGCGCAACAGACGCAAGCGCGCGATGGAAGCACTTTGTTATTTTTCATGGTTTCGTTTTTCGTATATTAACTTGAAATAATTGTCAGCGATTAATAACTTTAGCGATCAGTGGTGACTGCTTGTCGCATAAAGTCTCGACGAACACTCTCCGTGCACCGCATAATAGTCCGACACTCGCACGATTAGGTCATTTGAAAAAGTCACGGACTGTCTCAGCGGACAATTTTCGAAGTGGATCTGATCGCGTTTGTACGCGGACTGAAAACCTCTCGTGCGTGCTCGTGGTGGATGGAGTCCGCAGGAACACTTCTGGCGTTCGTAGTCGCGCTTGCGTTGCATGCCCTCATGCGCGACCGACCGGACGGAACCGGAAGGAAGTAGAAAGGTGTGGATGGAAAAAAAGAGGGGAGAAAATGTTTTCTGTACGAGCATTTGTATCGGTGATCGGCTCGCGTACGATTTGCCCCGGTAAAGGCTCACCTAACAAGAAGGGGAACTTTCAGCTTTCAGCTGCAGACGATTATTCTCGTTTAGTCGATTGAAATATACTTTCGCTCGTGTTTTCACTAAAATTCATTTGTTGTCCACGTCATCTTGTTTTCTCGGTTAAATATTGAGACTATCGCAGCTCTCTTGCGTTTACGTAAAAGTAACATACATGGAAATATTTAAATTTCGTCCTTCTTATATGATCTATTGCCTATTAAGCATTTACGGTAAAAGCAACCTTCTGCAATTGTATAAAATCGTACTACTTATTAATAAATGCTCGTAAAACAATTTATTAGTAAATATTTGTAATAACTGGAGATCAAGTTATATGTATATATTTATGTATAAACATCGCTTCACTGTCGATAATCTGTCAGTCGTCGCATGTAGAAAAAATCTGTAACGTAACTTGTGAGAAAGAACTCTGTAAAGATATCATAATCATTATAAGGGAAATATTTATAAAGGATATTTATAAGTTAGTAAAATTGAATTCATACACACATGAATATCTCAAAAGTAGATTTGAGATGGATTTCTAATCTTATTTTCTAATTTTCAGTTTAATTTTAACTTAATATAGCTGCCTGTTATAAGTTTCGCGAAAATTTATAATTTATACAAATTAAATCTTATTTTAAATTAATTATATATAATATAATAACAAATTAAATTAAAACTTTCTGCAGCTTGAGAGACTCGTTCTTAGAAGGGTAATTGACAATAATCCTTGCATCGTATGACGTCAAAATTTTGCTCGAGATCTTTATGAAAGTATAATACGAAACGACTTGCAGGTTCAACCCATATACCGTGTAACGCGGCAAAAAGATATTTTATGCGCATTATTGTAAGTGTTCACGGAGCCTATCTCCTCTTGTCTACATTAATTCAGCCGCCACACCATGCATTTCCCGTTAAACGGGATAGGTATAACATACGTATATGTGTAAATTCGGTTTACTACTTGCTTGTACAAAGCACTCATAAAAGATAAACATAAAAAAATAATCATAACTGAAAGAATTAACTTTAATAAGTCTTAGCGGATGAGTAGAACACTAGGTAAAATACGAGTTATTAAATATAAATTTTAAATAATATATATAACTATTATTGAATTAAATTCAATACAAAGTATATAAATTTAGAAATCTAATGCACTTTTACGAGATCCGCTCATACATCCTGTGTCCGATATTATTGTGTCATCTTGCTCTCGTTGTGTCGTGTCTGCAAACTCTGGCGGTAGATGCAATATCTGAGAAAAATAAATAGATAATATAAGAATTTCTCCTCGTCAACACCAATATCTACAAATAGACCTTAAAATTGACTGACTTCTATAATAAACTTTTTACGACGTAATTTGAATACTAGGTCCCTGAATTGTGGACACTGAGGCGCCAACGTATTTAATGCAGATAATTTGTTGATGTACAAAAGCCCGTGATAATCCTTGAATAATGGATTGGTCTCTTTTGCAGATCCCGCAAACGATTCTAATCTGATTGCTATGTCTGACATGTGTTCGATTTTCTCGACAACAACATCCTAGAAACCATGTATTGTAAATTTGTTTGTTAAAATAGAGGTAAATTTTCAAAACTTACAGTATTGTTAAAAGTGTTAATTGGAGTCGTTATCAGGCCAACTGCATAAGAATTCCTTAAAAGTGCTCTCAGGCAATAGAGAAACTTTAACAAATCACGATGCGAGGAATTTATTCTGTTGCAAAGCCATAATCTGGATCCCAAAGAATGAATGGCAATTCTTAAAATCTTCCTCTTCTCTGGTGTTTCGTTGACAGAATACTTTCCATCATGCAAAGTTTTTTGAATGGTATGTAATAGATCTGCATAAGCAATGTTCTCAAACATACTGTTCTGTCCTTCTAGATCATCTTGGTGCCACTCCTTTATATCTGCTTGTTCTAGGACCTCATGTTGCATTGATTTCGTAAGGTCATAAAAATGACCAAATACTTGACTTCCTGTAGGAGAAGAATCTACTACTCTCATATTTTGATAGCGCCAAGCAATTTCCATTTGTTCTAAATTTATTGCTTTTGCCTGTGAATCCGAATCATTTACAACAGCTGGTAATTCAGATATTAATCTAGAAGGCTGAATATCTTGTGATGCAACTAATACAGGCTGAGAAGTGACTATCCCTTCTGCTATAAAGTACTTTAACATAACTTTTGCATACAGATCGTACTTATCTTCCTCTGTAAAGAAAATATATTCTCTTAATTGTATGTATATGTAATTTACATATTGAATATATACTATTTAAATACCATAAAATTTACTCGAATACATACCAATTACAAATATCGAACCAATGGGTAAGCCTCCACCTAAAAAAATAATTAATAAAGATTTTGAAGATACAATTACATTCGAGGAAAAGAATAACACTAGTTGACAAACCTATCATATGATCTAAAGAAGGTATTCCTGTTGATATGAGCAACTGTGAATTTTTTACAGAAGGTTTTGTGCCTGCTATTAACGGAATTTTATTTTTAAGCCTTGTTGTCTCCGAAGCCATCTTTTTACTTAAATATCATAAAATTTCTAACAAGGACTCGTAAATCCTCTAACCTATAATACAGTCTGTAAAATTATATTTTTATTCACACGCGTAAATGAGGGTTAATATAGTGACAACAATTTTACACTATTAAAATGTCATATTTTTCAAAACTAGAAGCTCACAACAAATCACATAACAAGCAACAAATCAAAATATCATCATCTTTCATATTGTAACATTCAAAACACATGGTCTGCTCTTTTTATTACTGTACTTTTTCAAACCTTAAAAAGAAACAGGTACACAATTGAAAATTAGTAGAAAGAGGAAAGAAACAGAATTAGTGCAAGATAATGTAAAGAGTGTAGAGAAAGAGAACATACCAATATATATACAATTGTGCGTGCAACTTTACTGACATCTTTGTGAACAATGAGGTATTACATTATCAAATACTACCAACGTTATTTGAACAACTACCAAAATATCTGAATATAATTATGATTTATAATTATCCACAAATGTTTCATAGTTTATAAATTTATAAATTATTTTATTATCATTTTTTAAAAGATTTGTAATTAATTAGTTTATTTCAGCATGTTGGAGTTCTCTGCAGCATATAGCGTGTATTGAGTTGTGCAGTTTTCAAAAAATAAATGCTGAAACGTGATTGGCCGACGCGCGCCATGATGAGAACGTTCGTGAATCTCTACCGTTGCAACGTCCATTTGAACGGCAACGGCGGAGCGGTATGGTGAGCTCAGATGATTGTGTATAAATATTATTGTTAAGAATGTTGAAAGTAAGTCTCTTGCGTTTGTTTATGATGAACATGACCGAAAACAAATATTTTATAAACAGATTGCTAAGAATATTGACTAAAGTGTTTTGCGTCTACCGTATGACGACTCGAAGTTCAATTTGCTAACCTTTTCGGTTTACATTTTCGGCTCGTCGAAAGACGATATCTCACGCAAAATATCGCCGAAAATGGCGGAAGTAACTTTCGCACGTATATTGCAACAAAACTGTAGGCCTTCCTCTGAGCAGAATTAGACCTTAATGAGCGAAAAACCAATGACGAGCACATTATTTCAACGATTTTTAATATTACATTGCGTATTTACATGTTATTATCTCACATCATTATCCTTCTATTATGCATCATTAACATTATATCGATACAACATAATTACGAATAATTTTGATATCTTAAGAATATTTTTACGATATTTGCGAGAAAAGATCATATTATCCACGCTTGAAATTCGTGGACCGATCGTATATATATCATATATATTACCGTTGCAGTATATGTCGCGAAAGTCGTATCGAATGTTATCAAACATCATGGAATATTATAGAACAGATCGCGACGATACAATCAGAGAGCTATTCCATATTTTTTTAACGGTTTGGTCGGTTTAACGGTTCGTCGAAATGAATCTTCAATATCAATATTAGGAGAGTTGAAAAAATAGATATATTATACATATTGAAAGTAAATATGTTATAGTAATGAATATTTTCTATCGAGACATGCGCGTCGAAAAATTTTGTCGATAACGGACATTTCGCTCGTCAGTAGTAGTCGGTATCGGAACGAAACAGTCGTTCGTCTCATCGAATTTCGAAGCTTATTTTCGCAACAACGCGCTCAGAATTTCGATCCGACGCGCGAAATTGCATTGCCGTGAGTTTTCGTTGTCGGAATAATCCGAAAAGATGAGTTTCAATCGTTCGTTAAAATCTGACGAAACAGTCGCGGAATTATCATCATAGAGAAGTGCATCGGAGATTACTCCGGCGATGCATCGTGCGAGGACGCCACATTGGACGATGTCGATAGCTGCTTTCATCCTCAATAGTTGCGCTTGCTGGCGTCAGAGCGCAGCCAAGTCGCAGCGACTGTAATTACGGTTCGCGGTTTGAACGATATACGCTTCCGTAGCTACGCGCAGTTCTGTTAATGGCACCGCGCGTTCACTCGGGAACGATCACGAGCGGTTTAACACGGCGCTTTGTTTTCGTCAGCTGGGTGCGATCGCGCGCGAGCACCCGCGCGAAAACGACGGAGAAGAGCGCGGAGAAAGACAAATCTCGTGCTGACGACGCCGCGCCGTGGCGAAGAGCGCGCGCGCGCGCGTGCGTGTGTGCTCGGCACGCGAAAAGTGAGGTTATGTAATTGTTTGTAGTGCGGCGATCGCTGGCGCGGCGCGTTCGATGCCAACGCTCGATGACATGTGATTCACCACCGCGACGGTCGACGGGCGGCTCGGGTCGAGTGTGGTGTGTGCCAGTGGATGAGCATCGCCGCACGACGTATATGACGGGGCCACGCGCGGTATTCCTCACATATACACACTCTCTCTCTCTCTCTCCCCCTCTCTCTGTTCGGGAACCGTGCGTGCGTACGCGGCGTCCTGTGCGGTGTTGTGAAATTCGTATGAACAAATTCGACGTCGCGGAGTAACTGTGCCCGAGTGAGTTGCGCCGAGACGGTGTCCATGACAAGTAAACGTGATCACGCAGCATCCTTCGAATCGTCCGACACGGGGTCTTTGAGAGTACGTTGGGACAGTGTGTTTGGAGCGCGAAGAGAAAACGGCGAGAGAGAGAGAGAGAGAGAGAGAGAGAGAAAGGGGTAAGGACTCGTGAAGAAGGCACGCGCGCACAAGCCGAAGGCCACGGGAAAGAGAGAGAAACGGACATACAGACACGTTCTCGCGCGATCATTTCTCGCGCGCGCGTCAAACTTGAAACGGCTGCGGCGAGTGCGCGTAGAGACTCCGGCTGAACACTGGAATCACTCTTTCGTCTCCCTCTCCCTGCTACTGTCCCCTTCATGCCCTCTCGCTCTTGCTCCGGTCCTCTCTCCTTCGCTCGCGCGCACTCCTCCTCCTCCTCCTCCTCCTCCACTTGCCCGGTCCCTTCTCTCCGTCGTTCTTCCTTCGCCACCGAGCGCTTCCCTCTCGTTCCGTCCGTCGGTTGTCATCTCACTCCCGCGCACCGGTGCCGTTTGACGACCTCTCGCTCCCACCCGCTCTCTTTTCTTCTCTTTCTCCACAAGCGGACAAGCGGCAGCACGCTGCCCTCGCTCAACTACCTGTTGTGACGTCCAATGCGCTCCACGCACCGGGCAAATCCGCTGTAGATATTTAGCGTCGTGTGCCGCTGTGTTTTCTCAGTGCGTTCCCTACGACTGATCATCGAAGATCTCGCTACTACTCGCCGACTCGTTATCAGGCGCTCTCTCTCTCTCTCTCTCTCGCGCGCGCGGCGAGAGACGCGTGCCGTTTTCACGAGCGTGATTATCGACGCGCCGCGACGACGGCGGCGGCAGTTACCACGTCGCGCGGAAGGAGGTCCTACGATTGTGAAGCCGCGAAAGGCTTGTGTCGCGCGAGCACTCCCTCTCTCGCACCAACGTCTACGTCTTCGACGAGAGCAACGGGTGAGCAAGCGAGAGGGAGAGACGGAGAAAGAGAGAGAAAGCGTGTGTGTTTATGTGTGAGTGCGCTACGTCGGCGAGGCGAAGAGAGAGAGAGAGAGAGGAGAGAGAGAGAGAGAGAGAGAGAGGGAGGGAGGGAGAGAAGAGCGAGCGAGAGAAAGGACTCGAGCCAGGCGCTCTTATCGAGAACTTAGTCGCGCGCGGTGAACCTTCCGTCCCACCGTCGTCTCGTCGAATCTCCCGTTGCGCGCGCGTTGCTCGAGAGTGACAGTTGCGAACCCGTGACCCGAAAGGCGACCGATATATTTCGTCGCGTTGGAGTTGGATCTGCTGGCGCGCGCGCGCGCGCGTCGTCGGCATCGGACTTTGAAGTTGACGTCGATGATCATCATCGCGCGGCGTTACTCGCGCCCCGCGAGTCCCAGAGAACGTCCCAGATTCGCCGGTGTGAGGACGGAACGCGCGGCGCCGTTCGCATTCTAAATTGATCGCGATCTCGTGCAAACGCTCGAGCACCCGCTCGTCGAGAACTGTCAAGACTCGTCGCGCGATAATCGCGCGCGGGCTTCCGAAATCGCGTACCCACCCCGGGGTGGGGTGGGGGGGAGGGAGAAGAGCGCGAAGGAGAAAGGGACGGGGCCGGGATTTCGCGTACCGGCTCGCGCGCGTGTTCCCTCCTGCGTGCGCGACGCGTGCTGCATCGCGGCGCAGTCACGTGTACCGGGAACAAAAGGCGGATCGCGCCGCCGTGGCGCGTCCATTGACGACGTACTCTACCGCGTCGATGGCATCGCGTTACGTAGCGGAAGCTCGTCGTTCGCGTGCACCGCTCGTCGTCGCGTGTGCGATTCCGCCGCCGTGGTCTTTTTCTCTCGTGACGCGCGATCAGTGGCCGGAGTGGCACGTCTCTAACTTCGCGTCGCGATAAGTGCCGCGTCGTCCGTGACTTCCTAGTGCAGTCCGCGCGAAACTGCAGACGGAGGTGGACAGAGAGAGACAGAGACCAGTTTCGCAAGCGGAAGTGAATCAGTGCTGCTCCGTTCCTTCGGACGAAAATAGAAGTGTACTTCGGAAGGACGAGACGGCCCGAGAGAGAGAGAGAGAGAGAGGCAGAAAGTGAAATACAGAGACAGAGCGAGAAAGAAAAACCGTCGATCTTGACCGCGGTCAAGTCCAGTGGCGCTTCGAGCGGTCCACGTGCGCGGTATACAGGTTGCCAGATGCGTCCTGACGGCCGGAAGTCAGGCGGGATCGTGTTGTGACGGAGTGAACGCGGAGGATGCTTGACTCGCGGGCGGCGAGGGTGCTGGTGGATGACGACGACGACGTGATCGCACCGGCATCGCGCGTCATCCTTAGCAACCAGATCGACTATCCTACCACGGCGATTCTCCATTGAGAGCTGGCTTATTCTGCGGTGGATTTAGGGGGCTGTATGGAGGCCGGGGGGCTTCTGCCCCGTCAGCCCGCGCAAGGCCCCCCCGGCGTCGCCCCCGGCACGATCAACGTGTGCGCGGGCCAGGGCCCGAACGGGCACGCTGGCAACGTACCTGCGGCAGCGATACACGACCTCAACGCGGCGGCGGTAGCGGCGGCGGCGGCGGCGGCCGGTCAGCTGGGCATTACCAGTCAGCAGCAATTGCACTTGCAACAACAGCAGCACTTGCAGCAACAGCATCAGCAGCAGCAGCAGCAGCAACAGCAGCAGCAAATGGGCCAGGCACCCGGTATGGGTGACGTGATCACCCCGAAGAGGCAAGCGGTCGTGGACCGTCTGCGACGAAGGATCGAGGGCTACCGGCGCAGGCAGACCGACTGCATCCCCAGGTTCGATCAAAGCTTCAACGGCCTGTGCGAGCAGAATATACAGGACACTCTGATGCTGAAGCAGCGCTTCCTCGAGAGCAAGGCGAAGCGGCAGGCGAAGAAGACGGACAAGAAGCAGAGCGACCCGGTCGGCCTCTCCAGCGTTCACGTGGTGAGTCGTTGTCTCTTTTCTATCTCGCGCCGCCGATCTTGGTCTTTTTCCTTTCCCCCCTCTTCCTTTTCCCTTCTTCTTTTTCTTGTTCTTCTTCTTCTTTTTCTTCTTCTTCTTCTTCTTCTTCTTCTTCTTCTTCTTCTTCTTCTTCTTCTTCTTCTTCTTCTGCCCGTCTTCGCGCCGAGCACGCGTAGGTGTGCCTACGCCGCTGTGGGAATTCGAACTTGTTGCAAAGTCGGCGGCTCTTCCTTTCTCGTTGCGCTTCGCCGTGTCGCAGGTGATAGCGCGCGCGCTCATCAGTGATAGTCTCGAGGCGTCTCGTGACGAACGTAGAGCACACCACGGCAATCGCCGAAATGATTTACGCGGAAGATGAAGAGGAAGGAAAAAGGGGAGGGGTTCTTTGTTGATAAAACGCCCCGGAGATTTCCCCCCGGTAGGGACGAACGCACAACGAATCGCAATCGTTCGTACGATCGCTCGACGAGCAAAGCGACTCGTCCGTTCGAGCTTTCGCTCAAAGATCGCGAAGAAAAAGGCCTCGCTCGCGGAGTCCTTTTACTTCACCGTGCCAGTGAATCGCGCTCCTCTGCTGTGCTCATCGAGTGAAAATCGATGAATTTAACGTTTCGCTGAAATCGAGGCGGAACAGGTGGACGCGTCGGGACTCGTTAAGGTCGTAGGTCGCAGCCGCGCTAGTTACACCCGTAGGCGTTCGATTCGAGACGTCCCTGCGTTAACCTTGGCGCTACGTCAATGCAGGGGCGTTCTTACGATCCTCGCTGCGCGTAACGTTATTGTCACGAACGTCCTCCGCGCGCGCGCGCGCGCGCGCACGCGCGATACGTTTACGTAGAGGGACCTTTGCATGCAGGCGTCTGACTCGCGCGAGACGGAGAATTTCCCTCGAATAATTCCGTCAACTCGCAATTCCCGTCCCTAATGAGAAAGCAACTTAATCTTCACTTTCCCGGAGCTTCGCGCTCGAACACACACGCGAGCCTGAGAGGCAGGAGCGAAGTTTTGTTACGTGTTACCTGAGATATTGTATCTCGCTTGAATTTTTCATACAGCTGGCGGAAAGAGAGAAGAGGGCTTATAACAAACTTGGACATCTTACGATCAGTTTCTTACGCGCACAGTATCGCACAGTCGGCTATCTTTAGCTCGCTTCGAAGCTGTAATCGCGGGAGTCGCGGGCCGAAATAAAGTCGTAATAAAGTCCAAACAAAATCACCCGCCGAATGCTCGACTCGAGCAACATCTCAAGCGCGACGGGAGATCCTTCTTTGTTCGCCGCGGCGGCGGCATTATGTCGCCGATGTACCGCGCGCGCGGGAGCATGCGATATTAAGTAATACGTAGACGCGGACGTCACACCGTCGCACTTTATAAATGTCGCGCACGGCGCAAAGATGAACGATAACAACTTCCATAGTGGATGACGTCGGGTCATCGGTTTGTTGCACGTGTAACGTGTGACGTGACGTACGTCGCCCGTCCTACGAATCGCCCGCCAGCCGCACATAAAGGTGATAGGTAACACTCACACGTCACACGAAACTGTTACCGTGGGAGGTTGATATAATTAGCTCGCGCGTTCGTGTAGGAAAAAGCCGGCGAGATATCGGCAACGTTTATCAATGAACCGGACTTCATGCGAAATCGTCGGAACGCACGTCGTAACGAGCGCTGATTTGCATCCTATCCGCAGTTTAGCCTGTTTCTTACGATCGCGTTGTAATAACGATTTGCTCTCACGAGGTGTCTCTCGCATCGATTTGTAGCCGAATCCGACGTCCTGCGCCCAAACGGGCCGTACTAAGCTTTGCACAATCTAATATCAATTAATAAATTAAGTTGAATCTCTCGGATAAACTCGACGTTAACATATTTATTTAACGTTTATCCGCCTCGGTCCCTCGCTTCCATCTCCAGTTTCACCAGAAAACGACTAGAGGAAAGGGATTGTGAGATTCCTCCGATAACAAGGAAAATCCGATCGATCCCGATTTAGATTTTAATCGGCGCGAAATCACCTCGTCCTCGCGCAACCGCGACGTGCCGTTTCGACTCTCCGGTCCGGCCCCGCGATATCGCCCGATTGATAGCGCGTTATCGCGCCCGGCGCATACGAACGATACGATACAGGAACGATAGGCGCGACGAGGGGGGGGGGGCGAGGGGGAATCAGTAAGGAACTCTATCCGGCGCGGTGTAATAGGATCGCCGATAATCGCGCGTACTCGGTCTATTTTTTCCTCGCCTTTTTTTCCTCCACCAGAGCTCCTTCGCCGCGTACGCGCACGTGTCCAGGTCGGTGCGTGCTGGCTGCGTACGGCGCGCGCTCATTCATAATCGCGGTGCACAGTCGGGCCGCGCGAACGGCCCGCGAACAATGGTAGTGCATGAACGGGCCGGCACGACGCGGGGGAAAGCTGGTGGGAATCACGATTTCCGCCGAGAAGCTAACAGCGTTGAACCAGATCCTTCGCGAGCCTCTCCTTCCTTTCGGCGCTCCAGTTCGACTCGCGTGCTCCCGATTTATCTCTGCCGATCGACGGTAGTAGTAGTAGCAGTGGCGGTGGTAGAACCGTTGTGCGAGCCGCGACCGCGCGAGCGTCTCGAATATGGATTTTGAACGTGAAGAATTTTTCTACACACACCGCTGGCGTAGAACACGCTTTCGTTTCTCACTGTCTTGCTCGGCTTGAAAATCATACTCGTAATCGAGCTCGCGATTGGTTTAACTGTGTTTTCCCCACAGTGTATTCTTTTCTTCCTTTCTTCCTCCCGCCTCCGAGATCTATCGCGCGGGGACGTGGAAAACAATGGTTAAACTAACAAACAGTCGTATAGTTGATTGTCACGCCGACTTCTGCTGATTATTTCGATACCCAACGCGAGTTTAATCGCCGGATATATTCACGCGGCGAATAAATGCAATCCGTGCATTAGTAGATGCATACATTTATTAGCTTCATTCATCGCCTCGCTATCGGCCTGTGTTATATTCAACTATACGTAAGGGTTTTATACGTAAATTATTGAGACGCGACAATATTATAGCGTCACTAGTGACTTTCATGACGGCCAACATGTTAACATATCATCGACCGCTCAGATAAAGATTTATCTGTCTCACGATGGAGCTCTTATTGAGCGCTCAACCGCTGGTCGTTCAGTCCTGGCGAGACACGGTCAGTTTTCTTTTCAGACTTCATGGTACTAATCCCCGATATTATATCGGAATCGCAAGAGTTTAAATTCGAGTAAATCATTACACAAGCAAAAGCCTGCGCGATACTCAGAGCCTAGTAAAAGGTAATTCACACGCAGTCAACAATGTGTCGAAGGTTGATGAAAACGTCAGAGAGTCAGGAGACGAGTCTCTCTCCCTCTTTCTCTCTCTCTCTCTCTCTCTCTCTCTCGCGCTCTCTCTCTCTCTCTCTCTCTCTCTCTCTCTCTCTCTCTCTCTCTCTCTCTCTCTCTCTCTCTCTCTCTCTCTCTCTCTCTCTCTCTCTCTCTCTCTCTCTCTCTCTCGTTCTCTTCGACACCTCTTGTGCAACGAGATCGGTTCTTAGCGGGCACGAGCCGGCACGAAATCGCTTTGTCGCTCACCGAGCGACTCGTCTTTATTCAAAGCCGTTCGGTGCCGCGAATGACACGTGTCAGACTGCTCGCAACACGGAGGATGATGCCACTCCGACTAGATCGGCATCAGTGGTGTTCAGTCGGCAAGCTGATCGCGCGTACGTAGAACAACCGATCGGCACGACGGCGAGCGAGAGAGAAACTCGAGGTTATTTGTTCGCGTTCATTCTTATCCGACGCTACCTCGGGAGTGACTCACTTGCTGAGCGGCGAACGAGACCGGCGAGAGATCAGTTGCAGTGACGCTCATCGCGCGGAATAAGACGCTATTTTGATCGAGCGTGCTCTGCTCAAGTATAACGCGCTCGATAAATCGTATCAATCTATTTACGCGATATTTCAGGTTAATTTCATTCCTTACTAAAAAAAGCGCGGCGAAAGTCGTTCCTTCGTACTTCTCTGTCGCGCGGTACACCGTGATCGAAAAAATTAAATATCCTTGCGAGCGCATCGACTGCCCTTTAATCTCGGTAACTCTAAACGTCGAATTTCTACGTCCGTGCCTCTCGTAATCGCGGACAATCCAGGTAGCTAATTAGACATTGGGAAAACAATGAAGCTCATTGTCGTGTATTTCGGGTTTCACTTTCGGATACTCCCCGGACGGGAGTAAACTCTTCAAGGGCTGCTGTTAGTCGGAGCCTTGCCGTGCCATTGTGCTCGAATGGCGAATATAATTGTTGCCGCACGAGCAAAAGGCCCGCTAAACCGTAAGAAAATAGATCGTGGCGTTTTAGTTAAACCTTTCGGTTAGACGAGAAACTACAAACGCACCGTCGCCCGCGCGCCGTCTCGTGCGCCTAATATTACGCGAAGTAATATAAGTGGATAGCAATTTGTCAGGACTGGAGCATTTTTGTTGCACGCGCGCTCAGCCCTTTCCCATCGGGAATGTTTCCCTTTCGAGACGATCGAGAGGGGGAGAGAGAGAGAGAGAGAGAGAGAGAGAGAGAGAGAGAGAGAGAGAGAGAGAGAGAGAATTCGGCGGCGTTCGTTTCAGCACGGTCATTATGCTGGCTCGACAACTCTCATTACGACCCATTAGTCGGACGCCCACCGACAATTTAGGACACCGTGTATAGGTCTGAGGTACTAGGCGTCTCTGTTACTCGTCGCCGTGGTGTCGGTTCGTAAGAATCAGATTTATCGGATGATCTTTCTCTGCTTTTGCTCGAATCCAGTGTGACCGCTAAGTGTGACCGGGCCTAACCTTCTCGCACGTAGGTTCGTCTCAAGGATATCTCGCGTCCGACTCTTGAAATCTGCCCGCCACCGGCGAAGGACGCACATATGGATGTGGATGTTCTTATCAAAGTCTGGAGACTCGTTATTAGCACACCAATATC